TGTGCACCATTGTGATGAAGAGAGTGAATTGCAGAGCCGTGAAGTCCTGGCTTCCAGACCTCACTTTGCCACTTGTAGCCATGGGTCCTCTGGGACAAGATATAAAGAGCTAAGGCTCGATTTCTTTGCTTATAAAACCTAGGTGTTCTCAGCAGCTATCTCATAGGGTAAGGGTCTTTCAATGCGGACCTAGCATCTAGTATATGTCAAAAAAGTGATATTTTTTTCTGAAGTTGAAACTTTTAAATATAATGATTAGCTATTGTCTTTCTTTTTTGGGGGGTAAATCTGTTCATGTCCTTTGCACATGTTTCTACTGGGGTCTGTTTTTCCTTTTTTTTTTTTTTGTAGCACAGTTTACTCCATTATTTTTCAGTTTTAAGAGTATTCTATTCATTCTGGCTGTTTTTCAGGTAGACCATCAAATTGTTTGCTAACTACGCTCATTTTGTCTCCGTTCTGACTGTCTCTTTTCTCATTATGTTTCATGAGTTGTATTTGCCTTTGCTAGAACTATCAGAACAAAGTTACACAAAGATGGGATGACAGATATTTTTATCTTGTTCCTGTTTGGGGAATTGAGGGACTCATGTTTTATCATCAGCCGTGCTGGTGGCTGCTGAAGTAGGCAATTTTTTTTCTTTTTTTTGAGGCAGAGTCTCTCTCTCTGTCGCTCAGGCTGGAGTGTAGTGGCACGATCTCGGCTCACTGCAACCTCTGTTTCCTGGGTTCAAGCAATTCTCCTACCTCAGGCTCCCGAGGAACTGGACTTACAGGTGCCTGCCACCAACTCCAGCTAATTTTTGCATTTTTAGTAAAGACAGAGTTTCACTACATTGGCCAGGCTGGCCTCGAACTCCTGACCTCATTTCCATCTGCCTTGGCCTCTCAAAGTACTGGGATTACAGGCGTGGGCTGCTGCTGCCAGCCAGATAGGTAATTCTTACCTTGTTAAGGAAGCATAGGAAGTATCACTTGCTGTTTGACGTAAGGGAGTTTATCAGGAGTAGGGTATTCAGTTATTTAATGATTAACATCGTTTCTGCTAAGCAAACTAAATCTCTAGGGCATCCTTGATTTATTGTTTCTTTTTTGCTCAGCAATTTTTATGTAAGGCATAGATATAATTTTACCTTTCACGTGTCAGCAGTGTTTTCAGCTAAGAACTGGAATATCATTACTGGCCTCTTTGTGGGCTTTGAAAATCGAGCTACGTTTTTGCTCTTCTTTCTGCATTTGGTATTAAGAATGATTGAATGTTAGAGATGGAACGGAACCCAGATTATCTGGAACATGCTTTTCCTCATATGGGAAGGAACTGATAGCAGAAGTCAAATGATTTGCCCAGGGCACCAGAGCCAGGACTGGAAACCCTGTCTCGCTCCCGACTCACACCATCTCCTCTGAATACCCGGGTTTGGTTTCTCCAGTTCACTGTTTCAAATTAAACCCCCTGACACAGTGAAACCCATGTACACTGACTTCTCTTCTGCCCCAGATGGTGTACCCTGGGCTGGCCAGACAGCCCCCTCCCCAGTGGGTGTGCCTTCAGACAAGGGTGGCTTTGCCTTGTTGAAGTTATTGATATAAAGGTCAGTGCCTGAAACAGATTCTCAGGGATATTGCCAGAGACAGAGTGTTTGATTATTGGCCTTTCTTAGGTTGGCATTTCCGTTTGAATTAAAAGTCTTCAGGCTGGCGTGGTGGTGCCTGGCTGTAATCTCAGCTCTTTGGGAGGCTGAAGCAGGAAGATCACTTGAGGCCAGGAGTTCGAGAGCAGCCTGGGCAAGATGGCAAGAACCTTGTCTCTATGGAAAAATAAATAAATAAAAAAGTTTAAGAGTCCTTCCGCATTTGAGGGGAAAATGTGTATTGATGGTAGAATAGTCTTGGATGGGGTTGGGGAAGCATGTGGGACTTTTCCCTGGCCAGCTGACCTTATACTTACCTCTGTTTTTTTCTTTTTTTGAGGCGGAGTTTCACTGTTGTTACCCAGGCTGGAGTGCAGTGGCGAGATGTCGGCTCACTGATTCTCTGCCTCCTGGTTTCAAGTGATTCTGCTGCCTCAGCCTCTTGAGTAGCTGGGACTATAGGCACGTGCCACCACACCTGACTCATTTTTGTGTTTTTAGTAGAGACGGGGTTTTACCATGTTGGCCAGGCTGGTCTTGAACTCCTGACCTCAGATGATCTGCCCACCTCGGCCTCCCAAAGTGCTGGGATTACAGGCGTGAACCACCATGCCCAGCCTATTTCTGTCTTTTTTTATTATTATTTTTGGTTCATGGAGGAGCCATCTCCACATGGGCTGAGGCTTCTTGGGGACAAAGTCAGAAGTTATGTCCCCACACCAAGTGTCAGACACCCCATGTGTCAGAGTGTCCGCTGGCTTTGAGTCCTGACACGCAAGCCTCACAGGCTGTGCTTCTTGCTCTGGGGCACCTCCTCTTTTCTTATTCTTAACCTAGGAGTTTCCCTGTTTTACCAATTGTTTCTCAAGTTGATAAGAGGGCAGCTCTTGTGATCTAGAATCCAAAGAACCAAAAATAGACCCAATTTTGCTTCAGTTCCGTGTAATGGCTACTTTTGTTTCTATTGATGTTCCCAAGGCTCCGCAGCATCCTGGAGTTATTTGTCATCAAAGACTCCCTTATATCCAGAAGAATTTTGGTAATATGTACATTCTGTTGTCCCTTAATTAGAAATGAGTAATCTTAAAATATGTTCGGAAAGGCTTGGCAAGTGCCCCAAGTGTTCTCCATAATGAATAAAGAAGAATTTGGGCCGGGCACGGTGGCTCAAGCATGTTATCCCAGCACTTTGGGAGGCCGAGGCGAGTGGATCATGAGGTCAAGAGATTGAGACCATCCTGGCCAACATGGTGAAACCCCATCTCTACTAAAAATACAAAAAAATTAGCCGGGCATGGTGGCGCATGCCTGTAGTCCCAGCTACCTGGGAGGCTGAAGCAGGAGAATTGCTTGAACCTGGGAGGCTGAAGCAGGAGAATTGCTTGAACCTGGGAGGCGGAGGTTGCAGTGAGCTGAGATTGTGTCACTGCACTCCAACCTGGAGCCTGGGGACAAAGAGAGACTCTGTTTCAAAAAATAAGAAAATAAAAAGAATTTGAAAACAAAATGTTTAAACAAGGACAGCAAACCAGGTGTATTAGTTATTGTCTTGGTTTCCTGTGGCTGCTGTAATAGATGCCTATGGATTTGTGGCTAAACAGCACGTGTTGATTGTCTTATAGTTCTGAGGTTGGAGGTTGAAAATGGGTTCCATGGGGCCAGACTCCTCCGGAGGCTCCTCTTTGCTGTTCCAGCTACTGCAGCTGCAGTCCTTGCGTTCCCTGGCTTCATCGTCAAAGTCAGTGGAGGGGCATTTTGCTTTATCTTTGCATTGCTTTTTCCCATGAGATCTCCATGGGCCTTCTTCTTAGAAGGATACCTGTGATTACATGTAGAGTCAACTTGAACAATCCAGGATAATCTTCCATCTTAAGAGCCTGAATTGAATCACGCTGCACTGTCCCTTTTGCCATGTAAGGGAGCATTCACAGGTCCCAGGGATTAGGACCCGGGTATCTTTGGGGCACTCGTTCAGCCAACCCCGAATGTAAAGGCATGCACGGTAGAGAACGGGTTAATTCAGCGTCTCTTCACAGGGCCTTCAGTAGGCACCTCCTAACCTCTCCCATCTGCTCCAGGAAATATCTGCTCCTGCTTCTCCCCTTCCTTGTTCTGCGGGTTCCCACCCACTCCTCAAGTGAGTCACTGGGACTGGCTTAGAATGCTGGCATTCTCCGACTAGGCCAAATTCACTGGTAAACATTTGTGAAGTGTGTCAGAGCAGGCAGACCCTGAATCCCCGCATCCCCGCATCCCCTCCTCCCCAGGCTGCCTTCTAGTGGGGCCCTGACCTGCCCCTGTCCTCTCGCCTGATTCTGCAGATTCTTCTTCTTGAGCAGTGGACCAGACAGGGCATCGGCCTGCATTTCCAGGGTGGCTGCTTCTTAGCTTCACTTCTGTGAACTTCACCTTCCCTGTAGTGCAGTGGGATGTTGATGGTCTGTCTCTCTAAAGGCTTGGTGCGCTTTAACATGATTCTGTGATTCCAGCTGGTCTGAAGACACCCCAGTTCCCCTGCCCCGACTATCCAGCTGTATTCCTGCTCTGGACCCCGCTGGGGCTGCCATACACCCTGCACGCCAGGACTGGAGACGTGTGCAGCCTGACCCTACCCCAGAGCCTGTCTCTAAAGGTGGAGATGGGCAGACAACCGCAGCCCGGGAGACAAGGTGGTGTCCTGAGTGCTCTTCGCGTTCAGGAGCAGGAAGGCCTAGCTTGTGGCAGCAGGAAGGCCTAGCTTGTGGCAGCACGCTTGGGGAAGCATGATCCCAGATTGGGGTTTTGCCGCCTGCAGGGATTCCATAGAAGGAGATCCGAGGGTCAAAAGGCATTTGAAAGGCTTTCCCACATCTTTGTATGTGGCTTGATGTATCATCTTTTATATTAAGGCTCTCCCTACCCTGAAATGGGTTCTCTCTCATTATAAAAACATTTGGCCATCTTTTCTTGTGTAACTGTCAATGAATTTATCATCTTGAATACTTTTCAAATTAAAACACAGTACATTTAAGCCCACAAAACGCACCAAAGAATACACACATAGAAGCAAAAGTCAACACCCCTTCTGTAACTCCGCCCTAAGGAAGTGACTCTAGGAAAGGGTGCCTCCTCCCACACTTTCTCCTCTGGCGGGCTGGCGTGCAGGAAGGAATCCTCACAAAGCAGGACTGCGTTACAGGTAGAACTCTTTCGGTTTCCATACTTAACGTTAGAAACACACAAAATAATTAGGAGAGTCCCAAAAAGACACACGCAGAGTTCTGTGTGTGTCCCTGCTTGCTCACTGAGCCACAGTGTCAGTGGTAAGGAGTGAAGTGTGGTTGTGTGCAAGCTGTGCTTACATGATACTGATTTTAAATCTTGTTCCAGGTCTGCCGTTATGGATCGTCTCGCAGAAGCAAATGGCACTTTTGCTTTAAACCTTTTGAAAACGCTGGGTGAAGGCAACTCGAAGAATGTGTTTTTCTCACCCTTGAGCATGGCCTCTGCCCTGGCCATGGTCTACATGGGAGCACAGGGAAACACCGCTGCTCAGATGGCCCAGGTAGGGCTTCAGGACAGCCGCAGACGCTGTGAACTGCTAAGTGAGCTGGTCCTGCGAATTCCAGATCCCACAGGGATTGCTCTAGACGGATAACTGTGCAGATCGCAGGGTGTGGGTGGAGAGTTGACAGGGAAAGGGACGCCACCCATGCCGGAGCACCCTGACCTGTCGGGCTGGAGAGGTGGCGCTGGATTCAGAGGAATGAATGATTTCATCATCACATGGCTTAGCCTGTTCATGAGTTTGTAGATGGTTGTAAAGTCACAAGGTTCAGGTTGAGTCCTGTGATGATCTTTGGGTACCGTCACCTACCTTTTGATTGTCGGGAGTCTTCATTTTCTCATTTAGATGTAAAACCTTCTTAGAACGGCATCTGTCAGCTGAACATGTTTTCAGTAGTGTCCCAGTTCTTTGTTGTTGCGTATCTGGCATTCCCAGCTTAGCAGCTTTCCTGGTTGTTGAATCTGAGTGGATGGAGGGCTGCTTCTGCTCCACTTGGTGCTGGCTGGGTCCCTTGTGGGGCTGCTTCAGCAGGGGCTCAGCAGGGTGCTGAGGCATCTTCCTTGTGGCCTTCTCCACTGGGGCCCTCTATAGGCCTCCTTCAAGGTGTGCCTGGGCTCCCAAAGGTCAGTCTGCTGGGTTCTGAGAGGAAGTGCTCCCAGAAGACAGGCTTGAAGCAAGTGCCTATCAAGCCTCCACGTGTGTCCTGCCTGCCAAGGCTTCACTGCTAACGGCAGGCACACCTCCACACCTGAAAGGGGCTGAGCAAGGGTGTGCACACTGGAGACGTGGCTGGGTGGGGTCACCCATGGCTGCTGTGGTCTGCCCTCTGGACTTCATGGTTCCCAGGAAGTCCGAGAGCCAGATGTGGGCAGGGTCGGGTTCTCCTGCAGCCTCTCTCCTCGGCTTGTAGACGCTGTTTTCTCCCTGTGTCCCCACATGGTCATCATCTGTGTGTATCTGTGTCCCCATCTCTTATTTTTATTTTTTGAGATGGAGTCTCACTCTGTCGCCTAGGGTGGAGTATAATGGCACGATCTCAGTTCACTGCAACCTCCGCCTTCCAGGTTCAAGCAACTCTCTGACTCAGACTACCGAGTAGCTGGGACTACAGGCCCTCGCTACCACACCCAGCTAATTTTTGTATTTTTAGTAGAGACAGGGTTTCACCATGTTGTTCAGGCTGGTCTTGAACTCCTGACCTTATGATCTGCCCGCCTCGGCCTCCCAGAGTGCTGGGATTATAGGCATGAGCCACTACACCTGGCCTCATCTCCTCCTATTTATTTGTTTATTTATTTTTATTTATTTTATTTTATTTTTTCTTTGAGACAGAGTCTTGCTCTGTTGCCAGGCTGGAGTATAGTGGTGCAATCTTGGCTCACTGCAACCTCCGCCTCCTGGGTTCAAGCTATTCTTGTGCCTCAGCCTCCCGAGTAGCTGAGGCTGCAGGTACGTGCCACGATGCCCGGCTAATTTTTGTATTTTTAGTAGAGACGGGGTTTCACCATGTTGGCCAGGATGGTCTTGATCTCTTGACCTTGTGATCCACCTGCCTCAGTCTCCCAAAGTGCTGGGATTACAGGCATGAGCCACCACGCCCGGTCCTCCTCTTTTTATAAGGACACAAGTCCTAATGGATTAAAGCCCAACCTAATGGCCTCATGATACCTTAATCACCCCTGTACAGGCCCTCTCTCCAAATACAGTTCCATTCTGAGACACTGGAGTTGGGACTTCAGTGTGTAAATTTTGGGGGACACATCCAGCCCAGCAGAGGAGGCGTGGGAGGCCCGTGGGCATCACTGAACAGTGGCAATTCCCAAGCCCAGCCAGGTGCATGTTGTCCACCCCTCAGCCCTGGATGAAGGGCGTTCCTTGATGAGCCTCCACTGCAGCTTTCCAGAATTGTCCCTTGTCCGTGGCTGCCCTGGCCGTGCTCTGCGTCTGTGTCCCGGCGTCACTCTCAGCAGCTCCTTTCCTGTTCTGTAAGAAATGGCCCATGCTTGCTGTGCTCCCAGCCTACCTCCCACCTGTAGAACGTGGGTGCCCAGAGGCCTCCCTGCACTTTGAGCTGTCTCTCCCTTTTAGTTCAGGCTGTTACAAGTGCCTGAAAATCACTGTGGGATTTCTATCAACTTAAAATCTGCTTCCCTGGACAAAAGCCACCCCCCCCCACTGTCCTCCCCCACCACCTGAGTGCTCTGTGTTGGGTTGGGAGTCAGGGTGCCGTGGGAGAGCCTGCCAGAGAGTAAGGTGCTCCTGTATCTTCTAAGGTTTAACAAGTGGATTTTGACCTCACCCTTGAGGCCAGTGTCTGGGATTTGATCTTTGCTCAGGGGCCATTTCTTTTAGAATCTTTTGCTAGCTGGGGAGGCTGGGAAGAAGAAACATTTTTATTCTCCACCCAGCACATACTGAGTTGGAAATAGTTCCTTTAAATTCTGCTTGCAAATGGAACAGTTCCTTCTTCCTGTGTGATATCCTAGGCAGCAAAAAGAAGCCGTGTTCCCCTTGGAGCCCTTAGCCAGATGCAGGAGTTCACGGGGAGAGACACCATCCTCCCTGTCACTGCAGGGACTTTCTGTCCATTTCTTCAGCTTCTATACACACAGCCACCTTTCTCCAGCCCCCAGGAGTCATTTCATCCTGTCCATCCAGTCTCTGCCAGCTGCCTGGGGCCAAGGCCAGGGTCACGTGTTGGGTTTTGGTCATGGCAGAACTCCACTTTGGGATGGCTACGCATGTCATCTATTGCCACAAAACAAACCAACCCAAACTTAGTGGCTGGAAATCACAGTGATCGATTATTCCTCAGATTCTGTGGCCTGACCAGGCAGGCCTGCTCCCAGGAAGCAGTGCGGGTCACTCATGCAGCTGTTTCAGTGGACATTTGGCCTGGAAAGTTCCAGAAGGCCTCTCTCACACCTGAGGCCTTGATTCTTCAAGCAACTCTCCCCACAGGTGGTGGCACTTCCTTCAGGGCTTTCCATGTGGCCTTCAGCAGGATAGCTTGGACTTCCTTCCATCATGGTGGCCAGGGTACCAGAGAGTGAACGTGGCAGCTGCGGCCTTTTAAAAAGGACCTAGTCCTCGAGCAGCATGACTTCTACGGAATTCTACCTACTCTATCATTAGTTAGAGCCAGTGACAGGGCCAGCCCAGACCCACAGGCAGGAGGGACCCTGCCCTTCTGACATCAGGAGCCGCCCGAATTTACACAGACAGGAGATCTGGTTCACACCCTTGTTTGCCACCAAACTCCAAGTACTGAGCATCAGAAGTCTGGGTTTGTGGAGGGCACTGAAGCTCATGCCAGCACTGACAGGGTACAGGGAGGGGTTTTCAAGACCCTTCTGGCCTTTAATCGGATGGATCTTTTAAGCAATAGTCAGAGTCTGCACGGTTGTTAGGCTGTTTGGGGTTGCTCCATTTCCTGAAGTCAGAGCATACAGATGTGATGTGTTTTCATTCTGTTTTTGATTTGAGGTACTTTCTTTAAATAAAAGTGGTGGTGGCGGAGACGTCCACCAGGGCTTCCAGTCTCTTCTCACCGAAGTGAATAAGCCTGGCACACAGTACTTGCTTAGGACGGCCAACAGGCTCTTTGGGGAAAAGTCCTGTGACTTCCTCTCAGTAAGTCATACTTGTTACTCACTAAAGAAATGAAGGTGGCCAGGTGGTGGGGGCTGTGGTCCAGCAGGAAGCCTGTGGCTCTGAATGCTATTATGCCATATGTAGGCTTTTGTAATTTGTTTCTTTTCACCTGCCGATATGTTGGATCTACTTTATGCTTTTCAACTGTCTTATCAACATCTTGTCAGGCAGCTCCTTGATGCGTGACTGCTCCCTTAAAGGACCCAGCAGTTGGTGAAGTTTTTTTGATATTCAGAGCCTGACTCAACTTAGTTTTTCTTTTTCTTTTTGAGATAGAGTCTCACTCTGTCACCTAGGCTGTTGTGCAGTGGTGTGATCTCGGCTCACTGCAACCCCTGCCTCCAGGGTTCAAGTGATTCTCCTGCCTCAGCCTCCCGAGTAGCTGGGATTACAGGTGTACGCCACTACACCTGGCTAATTTTTGTATTTTCAGTAGAGCCAGGCTTTCACCATGTTGGCCAGGCTGGTCTCGAACTCCTGACTGCATGTGATCCACCCACCTTGGCTTCCCAAAGCTCTGGGATTACAGGTGTGAGCCACAGAGCCTGACCTCGACTTAGTTTTTAAGCTAGGATTAAATATAGCTAAAGCTAGGAAGTTGGATTTTAGGTTAAGTCCTCATATTTATTTGTAAATTACATATGTCAATTATAGATTTTCTGATTTGGTTCAATGAAGAAATAGGCCGTTGGTGTTCACCATTTTTGTAGTTATGTCCCTCTGTCTATCCTAGTCTTTTAGAGATTCCTGCCAAAAATTCTACCAAGCGGAGATGGAGGAGCTTGACTTTATCAGCGCCATAGAGAAGTCCAGAAAACATATAAACACCTGGGTAGCTGAAAAGACAGAAGGTGAAAAAGTATTGTTATTCTGCTTGTAATAGCATCTTAATCCATTTTACTGCCAGTTCCTTCACGAAACTGTCAGTTGTAAACAGAAATGACGTTTTTTTCTCTAAATAACTGCAAACTCTAAAAATCTGCTCCTGAAACCAGTTGCCATTAATTGACGTTTTGGAAGTGCTCACTCACTGTGTGCTGGTCTCTGCAGCTTCTCCCTGCGCTCTTCAGTGTACCTGTGATTGATGTTTTTCAGTGTTTGGTACATCTCTTCCGGACCAGTCCACATTTTAATTTTGAGGAGAGGGTTGATGTGAATATAGTCTTTCCTTTCAAAAATAACATAAAAAATCCATAGCATGGATCTCAAGCCGTCTCCCTCTTCAGTAGTTCGTGGTCTGCGGTTTTCATGCATTGCTGCGGGACACTGGATCATGCCCTGGTCTACCTGTGGTTCTTAATTTTAACTTTTTTTTGTGTTAGAGACAGGGTGTCCTTCTGTCACCCAAGCTGGAGTGCAGTGGCAATCACAGCTCACTGCAGCCTCAATTCCTTGGCTCAAGTGGTCCTCCTGATTCAGCCTCCCAAGTAGCTGGGACTGCAGGTAGCATCACCATGTCCAGGTAACTTTATTTTATTTGTTGAGATGGAGTCTTGCTCTGTTGCCAAGGCTGGAGTGCAATGGAGCAATTTCAGCTCACTGCAACCTCCGCCACCTGGGTTCAAGTGATTCTCCTGCCTTAGCCTCATGAGTAGCTGGTGTTACAGGCATGTGTCATCATGTATGGATAATTTTTGTTGTTTTAATAGAGATGGGGTTTCACCATGTTGGCCAGGCTGGTCTTGAACTCCTGACCTTGTGATCCACACACCTTGGCCTCCTAAAGTGCTGGGATTACAGGTGTGAGCCACTGCTCCTGGCCAATTTTTTTTTCTTTTCCTTAGAGACAGGGTCTCACTGTGTTGCCCAGGCTGGTCTCCAACTCCTGGCCTCAAGTGATCCTCACACCTCAGCCTCCCAAAGTGCTGGGATTATAGGTGTGAGCCACTGTTACTGGCCTAAACTGTACTTTAAGCTTGTAAAGAACATCTCTTGGCTGCCCATCTTTTTGACAATCCTTTAAATTCTGTCTTTAAGTCATAGGCCCCCACCACTCCTTCCTATCTCCTCTGTTATGAACTTATCCTGCATAATTAACATTTACTTGTTCACTTGTGTGTTTTATTCAAATAACGATGTTTTTCTCACCAGAAGTTTTTGCTGCTTTGCTTAAAGGACACGTATCCCTTTCTACTGGGGGGACAGTGGAAGTCTCTATCTGTGCCCTTGACTGCTGAAGCAGAAGGCCCCACCAATTCCTGATGTGTCAGGGATCAGCAGCCGCCCCTATCTAACGCCGTCTTTAATTTTTCCTCTCAGGTAAAATTGCCGAGTTGCTCTCCCCGGGCACAGTGGATTCACTGACAAAGCTGGTTCTGGTGAATGCCATCTACTTCAAAGGAAACTGGGATAAACAATTCCGCAAGGAGAACACCAAGGAGAGACCGTTTAAAGTCAGCAAGGCGAGTAAGCCGTGGCAGAGGCGACTCTCAGAGCAGCGCCCATGTTCACACAGCGCCCGCAGCCGTGGGCGTTTCTGACCCTGCCCCTCCTGCTTCCTGTCAGTCGGGTGGCCCCGTGCCCCTGGGCTCCGAGCATCCTCTCTGCCACCTACAGGGCAAGTTTGATATGGTGTGCCATCATCTAGAGGACATTTCCTCCTTTTCTCTAGCTTCATTCCCAACAGGACCTACACACTCCTTTACAGCGGCGGAAACCCCGGGCCGTGCCTCCTCCGTGCCGCCACCGCGCCGTGCCACACAGCAGGGTCGGAACATCTCTGCTGCTGAATTGAGGCTGAGCAGGGAGAGCTGTCTGAGGAGGGCCAGACTTGTAGCTGGTGCTTAGGAAATGCTGAACTAATGAGTGATAGTACTCTCTTGACAGTAAGGATAAGTACATATTTTTGTTTTAAAATGAGCAAACCAAACATGTAAAGAGACACTAAGATTAACCACCTCCAGCTTGGAAGATGTCATCTGCTGACGGCCCTTTATCTTCCTCCCACTGAATCTACTTCTCTCTTGTTTTGTTTGTCTTTGACTATAGAGATTTTTGAACATAGGCAAAGTAGACAGAATAGATTAATTCCAGCGTATTCTTGATCATTGACCATAAGTTAGATCTTCCAGGCTAACTTGAACCTGAACCTTCAGTGTCTCAGGAAATTTATTTTCATTATTTATTTCTCCTCACAATTCAAAAAGAATTATTTTCTTTCAAGCTTTATTCTGAAATGAACTGTCCTGTTATCCCCTGGCAAAATAATTTTTCTCTTTAAAATTTAATCATGAATAAGATATACAAGACCTTTGTTTGAGTACAGGTAACAGAAATCCCGGTTCACCAGGGTTTAGCTCATAGGGCTCATCTCCCCTGCCAGGAGGTCTGAAGGCAGGTGAGACCTGGGCTGGCCTGGTACTGCCAGCCCTGCCTTCCTCAGCACATGGCCTTCTTCCTCATGGTCACAGGATGGCTCAGCTAACCACAGCAGTCCAGGCACCAGGGAGGGGGAGGAACAAGGGGAGGGGAGGGGAGCCTAAACCTTCCGCTGGGTGGTTCTGCCTTTCAGAAAGGGAAGGCTTCCTTCTGTATGGTGTAGGCCAGAACTCTATGTCTTGTGGGTTTGCGGAGATGAGGAATCCTGTCATGCTCGGCTCTGCAGTGAAGAACAGAGGAAGGGGCTGCAGTATTGAGTGCACCAGCCTGGGGAGGGGGCGTACCTCCAAGGATACAGATTTTGAGTTGATACAGATTCTCATTTTAATTTCATTTCTATATAAAATGGAACTTGTCTACATAATTGTGTATTTAGTGAATCATTCAGGTTAGATCTTTTGATTCAAGGTTAGATCTTTTATATTACAAGATTGGAGGTTTGGACCCTGAAGGGCTGCAGGGAGAAATTACTGAAGGCAGAGGTCAGCAAACTTCACCCTGCAGCAAAGCCAGCCTGCCACCTGTATTTTTTTTTTTTTTTTAAGGTTTATTGAAACACAGCCATGCTTATTTACTTACTTATTTCATCCTGTAACAACAATTGAGTAGTTGTGGCAGAGACTGTACATGTGGCCACAAACTCGAAAACAGTTCCTGTCTGGTCAGTTATGGAAAAAACATGCCTACTGCTGGCCAAGGAAATGAGTGGGGCAGCCGAGGCCCCGGAGACTGGAGACTGCTCCAGCCAAAGGCTGACGGCCAGACAAGGTGAGCCTCGACCACACGGAAGCGGAAAGCTGCCGCCCCAGCGTCTTTTGTTTATTCCATATAACACAGAAGAATGTGCTACACTGGAGACTGGGGAGCTGACGGCATCTTTGACTGCCTATGGCAGGGTATTTCCTCAACTCACAGGAGCAGCTCAGAGTCAGGCGCTGACGAGGGCAGCTGGATGGGGTGTGGGTCCTGTCCTCCAGTCTTTCTCATTGGCTGGCTGGGGTTGCTGACCAGTGCAGTTTTTGCTGGTAAGATATATAAATGTTGCCTGGGCTTTTCAGCATCCCAGCTCATTAATTCATTTGTTTGTTTGTTTTTGAAGGTGGGGTTTCACCATGTTGGTCAGGCTGGTCTCAAACTCCCAACCTCAAGTGATCTGCCCACCTCGGCTTCCCAAAGTGCTGGGATTACAGGTGTGAGCCACCATGACTGGCCCTCCATTTAATTTGTTTAGGCATTTATTCAGCAGAGATTGACTGCGTGCCCTCCCCCCCCCCCCCCCCTCTCTCTCTCTCTCTCTCTCTCTCTCTCTCTCTCTCTCTCTCTCTCTCTCCTCTCTCCTCTCTCTCTCCTCTCTCTCTCTCTCTCTCTCTCTCTCTCTCTCTCTCTCTCTCTTTTTGTTTTTATATTGGAGATGGAGTCTCGTGCTGTCTCCCAGGCTGGAGTGCAGTGGTGCAGTCTTGGCTCACTGCAACCTCTTCCTCCTGGGATCAAGTGATTTTCCTACCTAAACCTCCTGAGTAGTTGGGATTACAGGTGCCCACCACCACACCTGGTTAATTTTTGTATTTTTAGTAGAGATGGAGTTTCACCATGTTGGCCAGGTTGATCTTGAACTTCTGACCTCAGATGATCTGTCTGCCTAGCTTCCCAAAGTGGTGGGATTACAGGCATGAGCCATCGTGCCCAGCCTGACTTGGTGTCTTCTATCTATGAGGCATGGTGCTAAGTATTTTTCAGCTGTGCACAAAACCAGCAAAGCATGCCTGCCCTGGTGAAGCTTATGTTTTCTTGGGGGAGCATCAACAAGCATAAATAAGAAAATAGGACTGTATTAGGCCGTAGTAAATGCTACAGAGGCATACCAAGGCACTCGCTTTGTAGCATTGGCTGCTTTCAGAGGGCAATTGCAGCTAACCAACCGTAACTCCCTGTAACTCCTCACATTTAATCAGGATAGATTTAATATCAGAGGTTCTAAGTCAACATGCTTGCGGATAATTAACATGGTTAAAAGAGTGGTTTTACGAATGATAAAAACTTTAGGGAAGATGCTGTGTTTGGGGTGGGGGTGTCGTGTCAGGTAAGATCTATCAAGGACACCTTTTCTGCCAAGGTGATTTTTTGAGCAAGGACCTAAAAGAGGCAGAGGTTTGCTCTCCAGGTTCTGGGGGACAGGCTTACTGCGTAGAGATGAGATGAACCGAGTTTGCTGGCAGTGCAGTGAGGAGGCCCCTGTGACGGTAGCAGACAAACAAAGGGAGAGGGAACTGGGGACGAGCTCTTATCACAATTCCAGGTCATTTTAGGAACTTTCGGCTCCGCTCCGAGTAGATGGGGAGCCAGGGACGGGTGTCCGGCCAAAGAACAATGTGATCTGACTTAGGTGCTACTGTGTCCCTCTAGCCACTCTGCCGGAAACAATCACAGTCATATTACCACAGTTATTCCAGGGCTAGGCTGGTAGCAGCAGAGACAGAAGGAACAGGTCAGATTTTGGTTATATATTTACAAGGTAGAACCAATATAATTTACCACTGAGTCAGACGCAGGGTGCGAGAGAAAGACAGGCGTCAAGGGCACTCCAGGGCTTTTGGCCACTGGATGATGGCATGGCTCTCAGCTGAGGTGGGCAGAGTTGTAGACAAAGCCGACTTGGAGGACCCGTGGAGCTCCACATTACAGGTGGCATTGGAAATTTCTTTTATGTCCAAACATAGGTGTCAAGTGGGCAGTAAAGTACAGGAGTCCCAAGGAAGGGCAGAGGTCAGGCTGGAGGTAAATTTGGTGTGATATTGTGTTTAAAGCCATGAGACTGACTGAGACCAACGAGAGGAAAGACGCCTTGGGTTTGGGACCCAGGCACCCCAGTTTCTGGAGGTTGCGGTAATGAAGATGGCAGAGAAGGCACTGCCGGATATTCTGGAAGCCGGGCAGAAACGTGAGCCGCATCTCTCCCTGCAGATAGTGGCCGGCTCTGATGAATTTGTGCCATGTGTCAGTGGGGTCTCATTTCAACTTCACGTTTATTTGTTTTATTTGTAGAATGAAGAGAAACCTGTGCAAATGATGTTTAAGAAATCTACTTTCAAGAAGACCTATATAGGAGAAATTTTTACCCAGATCCTGGTGCTTCCCTATGTTGGCCAGGAGCTGAATATGATCATCATGCTTCCGGATGATAGCACCGACTTGAGAACGGTAACCACTGAGCGGATAGTGAGGTGTGCTCACGAGGGAATCACTCGGGGCTGTCTGCTGTGGCTGCGTTCTAACACAGACCCCTGCGGACCGTGGCCCTGCTGCTGCCGGCGTCCGGCATCACAGCATCGCATGGGGCCCTGCTGGGCAGCAGCTCCCTAGGTCTTAAAGTCTTCCACTGTCTCCCTCTAGGTGGAGAAAGAAATCACTTACGAGAAGTTCGTAGAATGGACGAGGCTGGACATGATGGATGAGGAGGAGGTGGAAGTGTTTCTCCCACGGTTTAAACTGGAGGAAAGCTACGACATGGAGCGCGTCCTGCGCAACCTGGGCATGACCGATGCCTTCGAGGTGGGCAAGGCAGACTTCTCCGGGATGTCCAAGACAGACCTGTTTCTGTCCAAGGTCGTGCACAAATCCTTTGTGGAGGTCAATGAGGAAGGCACAGAGGCCGCAGCTGCCACAGCTGCCATCATGATGCTGCGGTGTGCCAGATTCACCCCCCGCTTCTGTGCCGACCACCCCTTCCTTTTCTTCATCCAGCACAGCAAGACCAATGGGATTCTCTTCTGCGGCCGCTTTTCCTCCCCGTGAGGACAGGGTGGTCTTTGTGCACAGCCCCTCTCCTCTCTGTCCTCTGACACTCCACAGTGTGCCTGCGACCCAAGTGGCCTTATCCGTGTGATGGTGGCACTTCAGAAATAAAGGGAACAACTGTGGGATGCCACATTCACTGTGTGTTTGTATGTCTGCATGGAAGATGGTTCTTAGGATCTGAAATTACTGCTGTCTGTGGGTCTGGGTTATGGTAGGAGGGGCTGCGATGACCACTTAGTCACCCCGGCTCCGGGGAGATGTTGCCCACCCCCCACAGTCATGGGGACCCCACGACTTCACTGCGTGTAGACAGCTGCCCTCGCTTGATGGTGTGACTCTTCCTGGGCACAAGGAGATAAATGGTGCTTCTCTGTCTCCTCTACTCAGTAGCGGAGTCTCATCCCACTTCTCGGGAGAGAAGGGAGTGATGTGAGGTGCTACAAGGAGGTGCAGGGAGCTCAGTTCCAAAACTGCCACCAGCTCCCTGGAAGCCTGTACGGAGAGGGGGAGCAGGTGAACCAGACGAAGGTGACAGTAGTCTCCTGCCCCATGGGTGTTTCTGCTTCCCTGGGGACTGGTTGATCACATACCCATTCACATACATACTGCCCACTTCTGAAAATGTCAAATGATATTAGTGTTCCATTTATAGCAACAGAGTTTACAGCGACTTCGACTTCACGAATCAGCACCAGGTGCCTTTCTGTTTCACTCAAGTGTTACAGAAAAGAAAGCTAAAATTTCTGGGGCCATTTGTGTTGACTGCTGGTAATGTGATCCCCGCACACAGCCATGCAGGAGCAGATGGACGGGTCAGGCTCAAATGCAGGAGCCACGCAGCGTTCCAGGGAGCCAGGAAGGGCTTCTTTTTCAGACAGTGGAGCCTGATCCCCCTCCTTTACCTGGCACAAATGTGCCCTCACTCTTCCTGCTCCTCTTTCCCTTAGTGTCCAGGCTGGGGTGACAGATAGGAGTCAGGAGCAGCAGGAGACGTAGCAGGGATGAGTGGGAGAGCAGGGGCAAGAAGGGCTGGGTTGTGCTGGTTTTGTCCCTCATACCCCATACTCTGCACAGCATTTTTTTTTCATTTGAGACAGAGTATCTCTGTGTCATCCAGGCTGCGCAGTGGTGTGATCTCGGCTCACTGCAACCTCCATCTCCCGGGTTCAAACAATTCTTCTACCTCAGCCTCCTAACTAGCTGTGACTACAGGCACCCACTGCTACTCCTGGCTAATTTTTGTATTTTTAGTAGAGACGGGGTTTTGCTATGTTGGCCAGGCTGCTCTTGATCTCCTGACCTCGTGATCCTCCCACCTGGGCCTCCCAAAGTGCTTGGATTACAGGTGTGAGCCACTGTGGCCAGCCCGTTCTTGGTATTTTTTAAAGACTAGGGACAAGAGGACTTGGAACAAGGGCTCCGAGGGTGGGGCAGGATCCAGTTATATGATGCTTCGAGCACCACAGAGAGGGCCTCTGCACTGCAGCTGGCAGCCACCGCCCTGTGTCCGGTTCCTGGGGAGAGGCACCTGCTCCACATCCTTGCTTGGGGTCTGCTTAGAGGCAGGGATGTGGACAGGGAGTGGGGTAAGTGGAGTTGTCTAACCGTCCAGGTTTCATGGTATCAATCCCTTTCCCCAGGGTAAGGGCTGTATCAATAGTGTGGAAAGATGAACATTCAGGGTCCCATGTGTTACTGACCTTGACAGGGGAAGAGAACCAGCACCACGCAACCCACTCTGGGAGGCTCCCGAGTCCCCGCTGAGTTACCGCCCCTTAGCTGTCTGTGACATCACTTTTGAAGGGTTATCTGTCTTTCTTAATTTGATGACAAGACAGTAAAAGGCACAACCATCTGAGTAATCCCTCTACATCTTTTATGAAATGGCACAAGAAGACTTTGGGGTGATTTTGGTTTAACTTTTAAATTTTCCATTGTAAACATGTGTTCTTGTGTAATCAGAAAGATATTTATATTTATTTATTTATTTTGAGACAGAGTCTCGGCTCACTGCAGTCTCCACCTCTGCGGTTCAAGTGATTCTTGTGCCTCAGCCTCCGAAGTAGCTGGGATTACAGGCCTGCGCCACCACATCTGGCTAACTTTTGTATTGTTTTTGTAGAGACACAGTTTCACCATGTTGGCCAGGCTGGTCTCAAACTTCTGGCCTCAGGTGATCCACCCATCTTGGCCTCCCAAAGTTCTGGGATTACAGAATTGAGCCGGCAAAATTTCTGCTTTCTTAATTAAAACCCAGAAGCTCCTAATTTAGCTGTTAAAACACAGCCTCTTGGTGGTCAAGGGCAGCTGGGGATTTAGCTCCTTAGGCCCTCCTGTGCTTGTCCCCCAGCCCCTGTCTCTGTGCGCAGGGCAGCAGATGCACGCTTATGAGACTTTGCTAAAAGGCAAGGGGCTGCAAAGGAAGTGAAGGTTGAAAGTTAAGTGCTATGGCTTCTCAGTGAACTTGGAGGCCATTAAAAATATCCTTTTCAGAAATAACACTTCCTTTCCCCCTTGTTCTTACAGGAAACAGATAAGCGCACAGCAGAAATCTGATTAAAGAACAACCTGCAATTTTTTCTGAAAACATAGTCAGAACTTGCGGTATTTTTTTTTTTCCATATGTGAGCCCTATTGTGGGTGAGCGGCACCTATCAGTGCCAGTGGTGCTAGGAGAAAAGAATTTCCCAAGAGAGTTGTATGTTAAGAAAGGCAGATTTATTAGAGAAAGTAGGATATACATCATAAGGTCGAAATGAGCAGAATCAGCAGGAGAGGAGCTGACTGCAAGGGAACGAAGGCTTGCTGAGGATTTTATAGGGTGGTTCTTGGGCCGATTGATAAGGCTAAGGCAGCAGGCAGCTCACTTGCACTCTTCTGTCAGCCGAGGTGTTTGATGGTAAAAGCAGGAAGTTTGTGAGTATGTACGTTATTTGCGCAGGAGGACCATATGTCCTGGGCCATAAGGAAAAGCAAACCTATAGCTTATAGCTTATCTACTTTCCTTTGCTTTCCCTGGTCCTGCCAGCCTGACTCCTTTTCCCTCATTAGGGACTCCACAAACCCTACATGGCACCTACACAGTGGTTAACACTGTCCAATCTTCAGTTACCCATGGTCCAAAAATACGTGACTACAGTATTGTGTGTGTGTGTGAGAGAGATCATATTTACATAACCTTTTTTTTGAGACAGAGTTTTGCTCTTGTCCCCTAGGCTGGAGTGCAATGTCGTGATCTTGGTTCACTGCAACCTCCACCTCCCATGTTCAAGCAATTCTCCTGCCTCAGCCTCTCGAGTAGCTAGAATTACAGGTGTGCATCACCACACTTGGCCAAATTTTTAATTTTTAATAGAGACGGGGTTTTATCATGTTGGCCAGACTAGTCTTGAACTCCTGATCTCGTGATCTACCTGCATTGGCCTCCCAAAGTGCTGGGATTACAAGTGAGAGCCACCGCACCTGGTGTATATTTACATAACTTTTATTACAGTGTGTTACTGTAAACCAAAGATAAAATTCTAAGCCCATCAACCAAATGGACCCCTCCTCTTGGCCAAGGGCATTCTAAAGTAAACCTGAACATGAGTTAAAGCCATGATATGAAGTAGGGAGGAGGGGTCAGACATGCCTCAGTTTATCTTCCTCCCCTGTTGAGATTCACTTGGGGTGGCTGGCAAAATATTAGGGAAATATTAAAGAAAGTTAGAAGATTATAGTCTCAAACCTTTTGGAAGGCTGAAGGGTTCTAATGGAATGGGCTGAAGGAAGCCAGTTCATTATATTAGCATAGGGTGAAAGATAGGGACAATAAAACTTCCCAGTTAAGTCTGTTACCCCACATTCCTTTGTCTCCACTCTAATTTGTTTGCTCATGTAAACTTAGTGCTGGATGGTCCTCTCAGGGGGAGATCAAAAGAGAATTACAGGTTAATGGTGTTTACTCTGGACCCTGGAACCTAAAGCTTTTATCATTCTTAAAACCACTCTTTCAATCATGTTAATTATCCACATGCATGTTGACTTAGAACCTCTGTTATTAAATCTATCCTGAATAAATGTGAGGAGTTACAGGGAGTTATGGTTGGTTAGCTGCAGTTGCCCTCTGAAAGCAGCCAGTGACCATCCCTGGCCCACTCAGATTCATGGTATTCTAGTGTGTGTGAGTGTATTCATTCATCTGTCATTGAGTCAGGGTTTGCAGGACAGACCTCTGCAGGTGTGACTGACGTCTCACTCCCTTTGGAATTCAGGCACAGCTGACCAGCGTTACATTAAAACAGACCTTAACACTAACAAAACAGCAGTAAGCTCCTAACGTGACAGATAGCAGGCCCTGAAGGAAATTGAAGTATCTTGCCCCAAAATATATTTCTTTGGCCTATTTTGAAATGGCCCTGCAAAGCTGCCTCTTGTGGGAAAAATCTACATTCTGTAGAGAATCCCTTTCCCTTTCTGGGTCTTTCTCCTGATCCAAGAGAGTCTGATAAGAGACATTTACAACCAATTCCCTCTGTAAACTCCTGGGCTCCAGCAATCTTCCCACCTCAGCCTCCCAAGTAGCTAGGACTACTGGCAAGTAGCCACCACACCCAACATGGTTTGTTTTATTATTTTTTAATTTATTGTAAATCATGATGGCTAATTAAAAACAAAATACTATATACTTGAAAATTACTAAGACATATGGAGTGTTCTTGTTAACTGTGTGTCTGCAGCTACCTGGAGGAACTCGGGAGTGGCGACCTGGCAGCCATCTTGGTCCTTTGTACTTTTGAAGTAAAGAATTCAAATGAGAGACACAGGCAAGGTTTAAAGCACCAGGGAACGTCTATTTTAAGAAATGTGAGTTTATTGGAGAAAGTAGATTTGGAATTGGAAGCGGGTCAAACAGGAGACTTGAAAATTCAAGTGCCTCTTCCACTTCTTTGCTTACAGTTTTTTTCTTTTCTTTTCTTTTTTTTTTTTTTTTTTGAGACAGAGTCTTTCACTGTGACCCAGGCTGGAGTGCAAGGACTTGATCTCAGGTCACTGCAACCTCTGCCTCCCGGGTTCAAGTGATTTTCTTGCCTCAGCCTCCCGAGTAGCTGGGATTACAGGTGCCAGTCACCACGTCCAGCTCATTTTTGTATTTTTAGTAGAGACAGGGTTTCACCATGTTGGTCAGGCTGGTCTCGAACTCCTGACCTGTGATCTGCCTGCCTCAACCTCCCAAAGTGCTGGGATTTCAGGCGTGAGCCTCCGTGCCTGACCTGCTTACAGTTTATACCCCTTACTCTTTTCCAGGCTCTCTGTCTCCACTCTTCGTTCTTCCCCTGAGTGGGCTGTCCTTCAATTACTGCATGCCCAGTAGCCTTGGCAGTAGGCACAGGATGTTCAGGAGGAGACCCAGGTGCAGTATATTTACTGAAGTCATGTGCATGTCCATTAGAGGCAATTCTCCCTTACTGGTCGAGCGTCCCTAGGGGAAGGTCATGTATCGGGCAAATTTCACACCTTGCTATTTTACTGCAGATGTTCAAAACCTTGTTTGGGACTGTGGCTTGCTAATTCCAGGTGTCTTCTGTCTGTTGCAAGGCTCCTGTTATTCCCAGGGCCAGTCATGGCCACTTATTACTCTAGAGGGATAGTGGTTTTTTTTTTTTGTCTTTGTACAAGATTTTATTAAATGTCGTTACAGAGCAACATCCAGACTCCAGAATGCAGCTGCCAAGGAGACCCTGTTACGCTGTGGGGACTGGCTGAGGCGTGGAAGGCGGCTCTGGCTTCCCACCCTCTGTTCTGAGATGAAGGTGGTAGGCAGTATCTCATCTTTGGGTTCCACCATGCTCACATGGTCAGGCAGGGGTTTGTTAGGGCCAATCTTACCAGTTGGGTCCCAGGGCAGCATGATCTTCACCTTGATGCCAGCACACCCTGTCTGAGCAGTACATGGCTCACGGCAGTGTTAATGTAGTAGTGAACAGGGTCTCTGCCATGGATGGATAGTTTTATGCCCTCCTGTCCCCACCTCAATGAGAACCAGACAGCTCTGGGGTCCCTTCCTTGTCCTGCTTGTTATTTCAGAGGGACAGATTTATAACAATCTGACGGTGGCTTGACAAATGCCCAACATTCTTGGGGGCCCTCGCATGCCCTGCTCATGTCTAACCGCCAACTCTGACATTCTCACCTCAAAAAAATACGTAGATGAGGTAATGCATATGTGAATTAGCTTGTTTTAGCCATTCCGCTGATCTGGAAGTGTGTGCTCTCGTTAAATGATGTGGAGCAAAAGGGCGTGGGTTCCTGGCTAGAGCTCCACCCCTGGGCCTGGACCCACGGACCTAGTTAAGGACAGGCATTTTTGTTCTCCTGCCTGGATGTTGCATTTCCCAAGACCACCCTGGCCTGCCACACCCCCACCCTGTGCCTATAAAAAACCCCGAGACCCTAGCAGGCAGACACACAGGTGGCTGGACATTGAGAGGAGCACATCTGTGGTGGAACACACAGCAGCTGGACGTGGAGAGCAACGCACTGACAGGCATGGCATGAGGGCAGGCCATCAACCAGCAGGACCACGAAGAGTTTGGCGGAGTCTGGCCGGAGCAGTTGGAGAACCGCTGGGTTGCCAGGCTTACCTTGTACTCACTCTCCAAGCCCACATGTGATTGGATTCTTCTGGTACACCAAGGCAAAGACTCTGGGATACAGAAAGCCCTCTGACCTTTTGATAAGGCGGGGATCTGATTGAGCTGGTTAACACAAGCCACCTACAGACAGCTAAACTAAAAGGGCACCCTGTAACACACACCCACTGGGGCTTCAGGAGGTGTAAACATTCACCCCTAGACACTACCATGGGATCAGATCCTCACAGCCTGCCTGTCTGTATGCTCCCCTAAAGGTTTGAGCAGCATTGCACGCCCTTGGAGGGGAGCAGGGGAACTTTTCCCGTTTCACTACTATGTATCCATATATCAAAACATCACATTGTACACCATGACATATACAATTAAAGGTCTAGACAATTTTCACTTGTCAATTTCTTTCTTTTTTTTATTGTGCTTTAAGTTCCAGGGTACATGTACAGATCTTGCAGGATTGTTGCATAGGTGTCAATTTTTTTTAGAAATTAAAAAAATTATTAACTGCCAGAGTGATTTTTATTAAAGAAGACCTAAAAATAATTCTCGTGAAATACATTTCTTCAAAAGATTAAACACATCTATTTTTTAAAATCCATTTTTTAAAAACATATATTGATTATTTAAATATTTTTAAAGTATAGAATAATTATGTGCGTGGACAGAATTGTGCCCCCCTCCACAAATTCATATGTTGAAGCTCTAACCTCCATTGTAATCATGTTTAGAGTTGAGGCCTACAAGGAGGTAATTTAGGTTAAATGAGGTTATAAAGATGGGACCGTAATCTGATACAATTTGTGGCCTTATAAGAAGAGGAAGAGAGATCCCTATTCATCATGTGAGAACACAGCAAGAATGTGGCTGTCTACAAGTCAGAAAGAGAGCCATCACCAAAAGCCACTGCGCTGGCATCCTGATCTCGGACTTCCCAGCCTCCAGAACTAGGAGCAAATACATTTGTGTGGTTTAAGCTGCCCAGTCCATGGTATTTTGTATGGCAGCCTGAGTGGGCTAAGACATTATTCTTGGTACATAGTCATGTATTGTAATTAATTTCTTAGCTGAATCTACCTCTATCTAACATCACTGATATTTTTCCTCAATAAGGTCTTTCTCAATAATATTAAAAAAATTTTATAAACTGCACTTCATTGTCAATAAATGTAAAGTGACCATCACGGCCAACTGACTCTTGTCTGTTGACCACAGGTCCTGTGTGACCTATGCAGCCATACAGGGCTCCACACTCACAAGGCCACACACTTGGATGGATGTTTGACTGTCCCCAGTTTGAAATTCTTTATAATTTTTGAACAGAGGATCCTACATTTTCATTTTGCACGGGGCCCTGCAAATTATGTAGCTGTTCCTGCTGTTAGACTATGGAATTTTTATAGCGAAAACACTCTTCAGGAGCTGAGAGACATGGTGCGCTCAGAGCAAATTCTGACAAATGAACTGTCTCAATTCTAATTTTTCTCATATTAAAATGTACAAGTATTTCAGTTTGAATATTCCAGAGTTACAATCTTTTTTTTTTTTTTTTTTTTTTTTTGAGACAGAGTCTCGTTCCGTTGCCAGGCTGGAGTGCAGAGGTACCATCTCGGCTCACTACAACCTCTGCCTCCTGGGTTCAAGCAGTTCTCCTTCCTCAGCCTCCCGTGTAGCTGGTACTCCAGGCGCGCGCCACTATGTTCAGCTAATTTTTGTATTTTTAGTAGAGATGGGGTTTCAGCATGTTGGCCAGGCTGGTTTCTATCTCTTGACCTTGTGATCTGCCCGCCTCGGCCTCCCAAAGTGCTGGGATTACAGGCGTGAGCCACCGCTCCCTGCCAGAGTTACACTCTTTTTGCCTGCATACAATGTGTTTCTTTTCCAAACACATTTATTAGACAAAACTTATCAAATGACTTACTTAGCTGGGCACTAAGTTTCATTGCATTCTGATGTGGTCTATAAATTTATCTAATTAAAAATAGGAAGTTCGGAAGGACTCTGGCCTTGTGAGAGTCCCTGTTTCCCCTTTTCACCCAATAAAATCCTGCTTTACTTACCCTTTAAACCATCTGTGAGTCTAAATGTTTGTGGCTGTGGGACGGACAAGAACCCCAACTTTAGCTGAAATAAGGAGAAGTCCTGCGACATTTTTGGCACACACTGTGGGGACTCCAGAAGCGAGACGGGGTCTCGTTATGTTGCCCAGGCTGGTTTCAAACTCTTAGGCTCAACTGATTTTCCTGCCTCAGCCTCCCAAAATGCTGCGATTACAGACGTGAGCCTCTGTGTCTGGCCATATTGATCATATATTGATGAAGGAACTTGGAAGTGAGTAAAGGTCAAGCTGCAAATTTCCCTCAAAGCAGTATAAAAGGAGGAGGAATGCTCACAAGTCTCCTGATGAATGCCTCTTTGTTTAGAAATGCTTGCTGTTAGATATAGTCATCAAACATTGTGAAGACCTGCATCCCTTTGTATCTCAAGCAAAGACAGAGGCTCCTAGGCACAACCCTCATAAGGCTGCCGTTTGACTGGCTCCTAGATCTCTGTGTACCTGCAGTGCACCACAGTGGGCCCAGCACCTGGGCTTCTGTTGATGTAGTCCCTGACAGTCCTCACAAACTGGATCAGTGACTGAGTGGTTTCCGGGACTCCATGGTCTGGCCACACCATATAGTGAAAGTGGTGGATGAGGCCAGGCGGGGTGGCTCACTCCTGTAATCCCAGCACTTTGGGAGACCAAGACGGGTGGATCACGAGATCAAGAGATTGAGACCATCCTGGTCAACAAGGTGAAACCCCATCTCTACTAAATATACAAAAATTAGCTGGGCATGGTGGCGCACGCCTGTAGTCCCAGCTACTCGGGAGGCTGAGGCAGGAGAATTGCTTGAACCCAGGAGACGGAGTTTGTGGTGAGCCGAGATCGGGCCATTGCACTCCAGCCTGGGTAACATGAGCAAAACTCTGTCTCAAAAAAGAAGAAAAAAAAAGAAAGCGGGGATGAGTCTGTGTGCATCGAGCTGTTCCTTCTGTAACAGCAGAGAGCAGAATAGTAAGAGGAACCTTCAAACTTGACAACTGACCAAGGAGCAATGCCTATGGGCTGAAACTGCAAGAGAAGAACCAGCAAAAGTGGGTTAGCAGATCTCCCCCAGCTGGGTTGTTAAATGAAGTAAAGCAAGCTAACATACAGTGCATATCTTAAACTCCCAGATGGTCCACTCAGGCAGGACGGACTCTGAGAACATCTGCAGGATCAGGTCCCCATAGTAGAGGGAATCCTGGTCCGCTGGCCAATAGTGGTCACACTTTACCTAGAAGATGACAGACAGAAACAACGTGAGTCTGGAAAAATGACTCCTTGTGAACCTGGGCTTTCCCTCCTCTAAACGCCTTCCTGAGGTAGGAATCCAGGATCAGCCGCTAAAGCAATTTGAACGTCTACTTTATATCAACCTGCTCATGGCCAGTGCTGAAGCTGAGGTGCTGCTCCAAGTGAAGGGGAGACGCTGCATAAGGAGCACCCCCAACCCCAATCTGTGTATTCACTTACTTTCTTAGACCTAGGGATACATGACTTGAGGGTTTTTTCTTTTTTTAAATTGATTTTCTTAGCATTTCAGTTCCACTAGCAGGTAAACTATGGTTCACAATTCGTTGTTCTTTCTAAAGAAATACTAGTTGTATAGGGGAAGGCACTGTCTTCTCGGCCCTGCTTTGTTCGTATTTATATGTCACTGTCCTAACTTGGGTCTTGTGCTAAGAGATCTTTGAGAAGTCAGAACGTTTAGCTAAGCTCGCCTTTACATGTGCAGAGACAAGGGAAAGAGGATTCCGAGCATGTATTTACGGAACGCAGATACCGGGCACTTTACATGTAATCTCTCTTTTAATCCTCCAAATAACCATATAAAGTAGAGGATGATAAGTGCAAAAAAAAAAAAAAAACGGAAGTTCATCTAAAGAGTCTTCCTCCAAGTGAAGATATGCAAAATTCCATTATAGAATTTGAGAAAGTTAAGTCTATTAACTATTAAGCTGATGCTGTTTAATTAGTTTCTCCTTTGGTTTTGGAGAACTTTGAAGATATTCCTGTTTGCAAACTTTGTTTTCAATAATTTCAAGTAACTAAAAGCTTCCAAAGGTAAATTTTTGGGTGTTTCCTCTGAATATTTTGACTAAATATTTCTAACTGATTTTGAACAAAACGCACCTGAAATTTAGAGAACTCAGTTCAAAGAAGGTAAATGACATTGTAGAACATTTAGGCTGATTGAAAATCGTTCTCCAAAAGAGCACACGCAGCTACATTTCAATTACTCGTGGGCAGCAAAGAGGAAAAGCAGGCGTGGCCGTCAACACATCATCAATATCATATCATATTTGTATTCATCAGCAGCTTCACCACAAATATTTTGTAGTTGTAATTATGTAAAGACAATTTATAAATTTTGGTAACTACAAATGCTATTTTGATAAAAAGAATATTGCAGCTTGATTAATACAATTCAAAATGCATGTTCATCTTAACCAACTTCAAGGTTGCGATTCATCAAAATTTGATTTATATGACTCTATGAAAATTTTCTGATATGCATTTTAACTATATTTTTTTGAGATGGAGTCTTGCACTGTTGCCCAGGCTTATTATCTAATTTTTTTTTGGCTCGGAAAGAGTCCGTGAGAGGCCTGAGTAACAGCATTTATTCACAACGCATTACATATTAAAATGACATATTTCAAATTGAAAAGTTGTGTGAGTTTTTCATCTAATTCATGGATAGAACTAAAAATAAGCTTTTAGAAGTTCCCTTTCCCACAGGGAAAATATATGATATGTTGTGAATAAATGCCGTTAAAAATTTAGTTAAGCCTGAGCAACAGAGCAACACTCTATCTCAAAGAAAAATTTAGTTAAAATGTGTATCCGGGAAGATTTTCATAGAGGCAAATAAATCAAATTTTGATGAGTCACAACCTTGGAGCTAGTTAAGATGAACACACATTTAAACTACATACCTAAACTCCACTTTTGCATGTTTTCAGTTAACCCTGCCAAATGATGGCTTCTCAAAAGCCACAGCATGAGCCACATTATGACCAAGTGGCTGTCAGGGGAAAGCAGTCCCAGATAATTCTCTCCTCAGTACTAGAGTCCAGAAGGATTTAGCTGTCCCTAGCTGCTTGTGAACAAGGATTAAGTCGTTTTATCAGTGATTGAGGTCCTTATATCCTGTCCTTGAAGGGGGAGACTTCTGGAAAGGATCAGACTCACAAGTTGCGTTTCAGATTTAACCACAGATTAAAGTGAGCATCCTACACCTGCTGGGTCACTACAGATTAAAGTGAGCATCCTACACCTGCTGGGTCACCACAGATTAAA